TAATCTTGGAACAGCGGGTTTCTACGGGAAATATTTACCTTTGCTTTGCGGGCGACCTGGCAGCGTCGCGGAAATGAGATGGCTCATTAAACCCTAAATACATCAGGCTTTCTTTCTCATCCATCACTCACCCTTTCCCCCGTCACCCCCCCGCCCCCCGCATGAAGGCACTGGGAGGGGTGTCGGGAAATCGGTCTGGTCTGGTGCTTTCACATGCTCTGGACTGTCTTCTGGCATCTCGTTCTCCTTGTTCAGAAACAGGCATTCCCGCCCCGGCCGGTTTGGCTCAGTGGATAGAGCGTCGTCCTGCGGACCAAAGGGTCCCAGGTTCAATTCCGGCCGGGGACACGTGCCCGGGTTTCGGGCTCGATCCCCCTCAATGGGGGGCGTGCAGGAGGCAGCCAATCAGTGATTCTCATCATTGATGTTTATCTCTCTCTCCCTCTCCCTTCCTCTCTGAAACCAACAAAAATATATTTTTTAAAAAAATAGACATTCCTGCCTGGCCGCCGTGGCTCGGTGGTTGAGCGTGGAGGTCAGGGTTCGATTCCCAGTCAGGGCACAGGCCCGGGTTGCAGGCTCCATCCACAGTGTGGGGCGTGCAGGAGGCAGCCGATCCATGATTCTCTCTCATCACGGATGTTTCTGTCTCTCCCTCTCCCTTCCTCTCTGAAATCAGTAAAAATATATTTTTAAAAAGCGAAGAAAACCAAAATGATGCCGGACAAGCTCCCCAGCTGTTTGGGGCTCCCCCGGCCGCGTCCCTGCTCCCGGCCCAGTGTCTGGGGGACACGCACACCCAGCCCTCTGTGCTTCCAGGCATCCGCATGCTGGACGGAGACGTGACCGACGTGGTGGAGGCCAAGTCGCTGGGCGTCCGGCCCAACTACATCGACATTTACAGCGCGAGCTGGGGGCCCGACGACGACGGGAAGACGGTGGACGGGCCCGGCCGGCTGGCCAAGCAGGCCTTCGAGTACGGCATTAAAAAGGTGTGAGTAACCCAGGGCTGCCGGATGCTCTCGGGGGCCACGGGGGTCGCCCCAAGATGGCTTCAGCCCTGGCCGATCTGGCTCAGTGGATAGAGCATCGGCCTGCGGCCCGAAGGGTCCCTGGTTCGATTCCCGGTCAAGGGCACATGCCCGGGTTGCGGGCTCGATCCCCAGTAGGGGGCGTGCAGGAGGCAGCCGATCAGTGATTCTCTCTCATCGTTGATGTTTCTCCCTCTCTCTCTTCCTCTCTGAAATCAATCAATAAACATAGATACATATATATGTGCTTTTTGTTTATGAAAAATAAACTTATCACATGACACCTTGTTCCTAACCGTGTTCGAGTTCTGTAAAATTCAGAATACTTGTGTCATGCGTGTGAACTAGTTTGATACAGCGTGTTGCATGTTGCAGGCTTTGTTTTCCCCTCGAAAATTCTAAGGCTCTCCCACTCCTTCTCCGTTGCTGCAGTGAGGGCACCCCAAGCAGCGAGTGTGCGAGTTTTAAACAAGAAAATAGACGGAATCAGGTTTTGTTAGCATGACACCATCCAGCTTTAAAATCAGAGCAACAGCAACAAAAAAAATCAGGACAAAATATCTGAATTGGAGGCCACACCTTTTAAGGTAGCTACCATTCATGCTTTCTAGTCTTTTTTCTTTTTTCTTTTAAAGATTTTTATTGATTTCAGAGAGGAAGGGAGAGGGAGAGAGAGGTAGGAACATCCATGATGAGAGAGAATCACAGATCGGCTGCCTCCTGCATGCCCCACACTGGGGATGGAGCCCACAACCCGGGCATGTGCCCTTGACCGGAATCGAACCGTGACCTCCTGGTTCGTAGGTCGACGCTCGACCACTGAGCCACGCTGGCCGGGCCCTGCTTTTTCATCTGAAAGCATGCTCACACATCAGTAACACCAACAGGAAAAGGAAAACACTGCCTGTGACAATCATTGTAGTTTGTAGAAACCAAACAGGTTTAGAGTCAATGGCCACATATTTAATTACTATCAAACAGCAGCTCTCATAGCAGTCAAGTCCTCGGTGGAAAATAAAAACAAACTTACAAGTTGGAAATTCATCTTCGTTTGGTTTTGAAACCTTTCTGGGAAAACTGTGTGGTTTTTTGTACTTTCAAAAAAAAACCCCAAGCAATACAGTCGGGGTCAGAAAACACTGATTCATGTAGAAAATGAATCAACCCACTGATAAGATACTAGCGGGGAAGGTGTACCAAAATAATCCCGTTTCGAGTCTCGGTTATTTTGTTCGAAGAAACACTGATGGTGAGAGAGAGAATCACGGACCGGCTGCCTCCTGCACGCCCCCCACTGGGGATGGAGCCTGACCGGGAATCGAACCGTGACCTCCTGGTTCCTAGGTGGATGCTCCACCACTGAGCCACGCCGGCCGGGCAGGGAGTCTTGCTCTTGCTTGCTCCCCCTCCCTGCCAGCAGGCAGCGCGAGATGTGTAGAGTTTGGGGGGTGGCATCTCCCCAGGGACTACACAGAGCAGACCTCTGGGTGCTGGGCCTCCAGTGACAGGCTCGGGGGGACGCAGAGGACGAGGGCGCTGCAGGCTCCTCCCGGAGGTCCGTTCCAGTGGCTCTGAGTCGCTGTGAGTCAGAAAGGCGGGGGGAGGAGGGGGCTGGCGGGGACCCAGCTATAACAAGCAGGGTGGCGAGGCGGGTTTCAGGGCGAGGACAGCTTCTTGGAACAGACGTGGGGCTGTGGTCAGCGTCCCCGTGGCCCTGGGTGGCCCGACAAGCCCCAGCGCCCGGTGACGCTGGCAGGGGTTCGGGCAGGATACCCAGGCAGCCTGATGCCTCTGGCTTGTCCTATTGGAGAGAGGAGAGAGGGGCTGGGGGAGGGGGGTCGAGGGGACAGGGTCCAGGCCCTTTTATTTATTCGTTTTAAAATATATTCTTATTGATTTCAGAGAGAAGGAAGGGAGAGGGAGAGAGAAACATCGGTGATGAGAGAGCATCATGGATCGGCTGCCTCCTGCACGCCCCCCTACTGGAACCACCCCCCTCGGGCATGCGCCCTTGACCGGGAATAGAACTGTGACCTCTTGGTTCGTGGGTCGATGGTGCTCAACCACGGAGCCACGCCGGCCGGGCTCTATTCATTTTCCTATGTGTTGGGGAGCGGGGGAGAGTACTTAGCTCTTAGAACAGTGGTTCTCAACCTTCTGGCCCTTTCAATACAGTTCCTCATGTGGTGGCCCCCAACCATAAAATTATTTTCGTGGCTACTTCATCACTGTCACGTTGCTACTGTGATGAATCGTCATGTAAATATCTGATATGCAGGATGGTCTCAGGCGACCCCTGTGAAAGGGGCGTTCGACCGCCAAAGGGGTGGCGACCCACAGGTTGAGAACCGCTGTCTTAGAATGTCCCCAACCCAGGGACCCTCCTTCCACGGCTCAGGCCTCCCCCGCCCCCCCCCAGTCCTTCACCACCCGACCCGGTGCCGGCGAGCCCAGCGCCGCCGGAAGACCCAGGCGTGTCCACGTCACGCGGCTGCTGCCCTCCAGGCCCATAAACCCGTCTCATCCCCCCGGGACTCCGCTCCGCCACCCTCTCCATCACCCGGCGCCCCCTCCTGATGACAGGCGGCGCCTCCCCAAAACCGAGCTAATTTTAAGCTGTAAATGAGAGCCGGCGCTTCCCCCGGGGGAGCCGTGGATGCCGCCCGTCTGTCATTCCTATGAGATGATGTCGGACCATCTGAGATCTCGGGCCGTGGCCGTCGTGGCTCCGTGGTTAGAGCGTCGGCCCACGCGCCCCGAAAGGGTCCCGGGTTCCGTGCCCGGTCATGGGCCTGTGGCCTCGGCTGCAGGTCTGAGCCCCAGCCCTGGAGACGTACGAGGGGTTTTGTTGTTTGCAACTCAATAGAAAACAAAACCCCGTTTTGTGCCAGATGGTCCCGGGCCCGTGAAATCTCCGACAGTCACCTTCCTCCTCCTTTTAGCTCGTCCTCAGGATTTCACGGGTGGCAAGTCCAGCGAACTCATGGAAAACAGTGCCAGCTTAGAGAATTTATTTTCTTTTAATTAAAAACAAAATTTTTTTTTGAAATATGTTTTTATTGATTTCGGAGAGGAAGGGAGTGAGAGAGAAACATCCGTGATGAGAGAGAACCATGGATCAGCTGCCTCCTGCACGCCCCCTTCCTGGGGATGGAGCCCGCAGCCCTGGCAAGTGCCCTGACGGGGATCGAACCCTGACCTCCTGGCTCGTCCGTGGACACTCAACCACCCAGCCACGCCGGCCGGCCGGATTGCAGGATGGTGTTGACAGTTTTCTCTCTAAATTGGCCCGTCGTCGGGCCTAAGTATCAATTTCCTGCCGCGTGTTTGGAAAGCAGGGTCTCTGGCAAGGACGCCGGAGCTACCAGCCCCGTGGGCCCAGTTTCCTGCGGAGACGGGGCTGGCCGTGCCCACCCGCAGGCCCGCCCCCTTGCACCGACCGGGGCTCCGGTGAGCTGCTCTTGAGCCGCCGCCTGTGGCTGGCATGAACCCTCGGATTTGGTCCCAGATCATGGGTCCTGTGGGCGTGGGGGAGACCAGGAAGCCACCTGCACCTGCCGCCGTCCCTCAAAGACTCGCTTTCATGGGCTCGTCCTCAGACACGGGCTCTCCGCACGTGGGAAGCCACTGGCCTTGGCTGGCATCCACGCCCTGACCACTTCCGCGCTGACACAAGCGCCCCACGGGCACTCGGCACCCTCCGCACCCAGGGATCCTGGTGGCATCTCTCTGGTCAGATGTAGCTCGCTCTCCAACAGGTGTTCTTCCGGCCCGGCCGGCGTGGCTCCGTGGTTGAGCATCGACCTAGGAACCAGGAGGTCACGGTTCCATTCCCGGTCAGGGCACAGGCCCGGGTTGCGGGCTCCATCCCCAGTAGGGGGCGTGCAGGAGGCAGCCGATCGATGATTCTCTCTCAGCATAGCTGTTTCTCTCTCTCTCTCCCTCCCTTTCTCTCTTTCTAAAATCACTCTTTCTAAAATCAATAAAAACATATTTTTTTAAAAAGAAAGAAAGAACAGAGTAGTCCTTTTGAGTCTTGTCCTCAGTGCAACCCTGTGAATCAAAACAGAGCCCTCTGTTAAAATCAAACCACGGCCCTAACCGGTTTGGCTCTGTGGATAGAGTGTCGGCCTGCGGACTGAAGGGTCCCGGGTTCGATTCCGGTCAAGGGCATGTACCTTGGTTGCGGGCACATCCCCAATAAGGGAGTGTGCAGGAGGCAGCTGATCGATGTTTCTCTCTCATTGATGTTTCTAACTCTCTATCCCTCTCCCTTCCTCTCTGTAAAAAATCATTCCACCCAAAGTGGCTCAGTTTGTTGAGCATCATCCTGTGCACAAAAGGTTGCCAGTTCGATCCCTACTGGGGCTCGATCCCCAGTAGGCCATGTACAGAAGGCAACTGATCGATGTTTCTCTCTCACGTTGTTTCTCTCTCTCTCTCTCTCTCTCTCCTTTCTCTAAGAATGTCCTCGGGTGAGAATTTTTTTTAAATATTTTTTTATTGATTTCAGAGAGGAAGGGGGAGAGAGAGAGAAACATCAGTGATGAGAGAGAAGCATGGATCGGCTGCCTCCTGCACGCCCCACACTGGGGATGGAGCCCACAACCCGGGCATGTGCCCTGACCTCGTGGGTCATAGGTCCACGCTCAACCACTGAGCCACGCCGGCTGGGCCTCGGGTGAGAATTAAAAAAAAAAATCGAGCCACGTCTCCAGTGGCATCCGGATGGTCCGAACACGTCGTTCCCGGCCCCTTTGAAGGGACCTTGGGAAAGCGGGGCCCCAGGCCTCCGTGCCAGGCCCGCCCTGCCCGGCTCCGGCTGCGGGCTGACAGACGGCTGGTCTTCCCCTCCAGGGCCGGCAGGGCTTGGGCTCCATCTTCGTCTGGGCCTCGGGGAACGGCGGGAGAGAGGGGGACTACTGCTCCTGTGACGGCTACACCAACAGCATCTACACCATCTCCGTGAGCAGCACCACGGAGAACGGCTACAAGCCCTGGTACCTGGAGGAGTGCCCGTCCACGCTGGCCACCACCTACAGCAGCGGCGCCTTCTACGAGCGGAAGATCGTGAGTGCTCCGGGGCGGCGGGGGGCGGGGGGGTAGATGGAGCTCGGGGCGGGAGCCCTGCCCCTCTGGGGACCAGTTCCTTTTGCTCACAACAAAAAGATGAGCCCTGGCCGGTGTGGCTCAGTGGATAGAGCGTCGGTCTGCAGACTGGAGGGTCGCGGGTTCGATTCTGGTCAAGGGCACATACCTGGGTTGCAGGTTCGATCCCTGGCCCAGGTCTGGGTGCATGTGGGAGGCAACCAATCATTATGTCTCTCTCACATCCATGTTTCTCTTCTCGGTCTGTCTCTCTCTTTCTTCCTTCTTCTTCTCCTCCTCCTCCTCCTCTTTTTTCCTCCCCTTCCTCCCTCCCTTCTGCTCTCTCTAAATATCAATGGAGCCCTAGCTGGGTTGGCTCAGTGGATAGAGCATCAGCCTGCAAACTGAAGGGTCCCGGGTTCGATTCCCTGTCAAGGGCACATGCCTGGGTTGCAGGCTCGATCCCCAGTAGGGGGTGTGCAGGAGGCAGCCAATCCATGAGTCTCTCTCATCCTTGATTTTTCTGTCGCTCTATCCCTCTCCCTTCCTCTCTGAAATCAATACAAATATATATGCTAGAGGCAGCGATTCGTGCACTGGTGGGGGTGTGGCCTGTAGGGATTGGCCTGCTGTGGGAGCTCCACTCATCCCGGTCAGCGAGCTGTGCTACCACCGTGGGAGCCCACTGACCACCAGGGGACAGCTCCTGTGTTGAGCGCCTGCCCCCTGGTGGTCAGTGTGCATCATAGCGACTGGTCGACCAGTCATTCTGGTCATTCTGCTGTTCAGTCACTGGGCTTTTATATATATAGTTTCTTGTATTTTTTTTTTAAAGATCTATCTTTTAAGAAAATAAAAAATAAATACAAACCAATGGAAAAATATCCTCGGGTGAGGATTAACAACAAAAATAGGTGAGCCAGGTCCAGGCCATTGTGTGCCGGGTCCCAGGGTGCCACCCTCACCCATCAGCGAACTAGCTGTACACCCTCCGTCCCTTGGCAACCTTCCCCAGTCCCCGCCTGGCTAATTTTTGCACAAAATGCCCATTAAAACCCTCTCCGGCTCTCGAGGTCTAAAAATACCCTTTAAGAATGAGGTGCATTCTCACCACGGCGTCTCCGGATGGCTTTCTCAAATTCTGTGGTCGCCTGGCTTGGGAGCCAGCCCGCCCGACCGGCTCAGCCTCAGCCTCAGCCTCAGCGTGCAGCGCTGAGGAAGAGAGAGAGACTCGGTTCTCTCCTGAAAGACGGTCGGAATCCCGCTGGCCCCCCGGGCATTCCCTTCCCAACAAAAGGACTTTCTCTGGACGCTGAGCTGAGCTGAGCTGAGCGGTGTGCGCCCGCTGTGCTGACATACGCGGACATAAGTGTGATTTGTCTTTGATAAAGTCCTTGTGTTCGTTCGTCAGAGAGACGGGATTTGCATTTGCTCCTTCCCTTCGTGCGTTCTGACTTTATTTATTTATTTTTTTAAAATATATTTTATTGATTTTTTACAGAGAGGAAGGGCTAGAGATAGAGAGTTAGAAACATCGATGAGAGAGAACCATCGATCAGCTGCCTCCTGCACATCTCCTACTGGGGATGTGCCCGCAACCCAGGTACATGCCCTTGACCGGAATCGAACCTGGGACCTTTCAGTCCACAGGCCGACGCTCTACCCACTGAGCCAAACCGGTTTCGGCGCGTTCTGACTTTAAAAAGAAAGAGGAGCCCTAGCCGGTTTGGCTCAGTGGCTAGAGCATCAACTCACGGACTGAAGGGTCCCGGGTTCGATTCCGGCCAAGGGCACATGCCCTGGTTGCAGGCTCGATCCCCTGCCCCGGTCGAGGTCCATGTGGGGGGCAACCCATCGATGTGTCTCTCTCACATCCATGTTTCTCTCCCTCCCCCTCTCCCTTTCCCTTCCACTCTCTAAAAATCAGTGGGAAAAGCATCTTCGAGTGAGTATAAAAAATAATGATAATTAGACAAATCAGGAGGGATGGGTGTTCAGTTGAGACGAATGCAGAATTCCAGTGCACAGCCGTTACGTTGGGTTTCAGACATTTGAAAAACAAGATCATGTAGCCGGCCAGACATGGCTTAATTTAAAATATATATATATAATGTTTATTGATTTCAGAGAGAGGGAAGGAGAGGGAGAGAGAGAGAAACATCAGCGACGAGAGAGAATCATGGATCGGCTGCCTCCTGCACGCCCCTTACTGGGGATCGAGCCTGCAACCCGGGCGTGTGCCCTTGACCGGGAATCGAACCCTGACCTCCTGGGTCATGGGCCGATGCTCAGCCACTGAGCCACGCCGGCCGGGCAATGCCGTTTTTGGTTTTTTTTTTAATCTTCTCGTTCCTCCTGCTGCTCAGCCACGTCTTTACAAACGACGTGCGGGGTTATTTTTACACTTTTCGGGGGGAGCACGCAGGCCCCCTCTTTCCCCCCCTTCGCTCCCTGCACGGACGGCAAGGCCGGTCCCCAGGGCGGCCGCCAGCTTGGCAGCGGCCAGGCCGGCTCACGAAGGTATTAATTTAAGTTATTTTTCTTTCCCACTGGAGCACGGGCCCCCGGGACGGGCCGCCGGGTCCTGAATGGCGTCCTGTTCACGTAGGAGCCCAGCCCAGCTGCACGGGGACTGGCTGGGGTCTCGTTAAACAGACGCCCGTCCGGAGCCTGATTGAGGGGGGGCAGCGGGGAGCTGCCGGCTGGCGGGGAGCAGGGCGGGGCTGTGTCGTTGGACACTTGGTGCCTGACCTTCTGGTTCATAGGTGGATGCTCAACCACTGAGCCACACCGGCCGGGCCAGGGGGGCTCCTCTTCGTGTCTCAGCACAAACATCGTCTTCCCGCTGCCCTGCCTCCCATCCTCACCCCGTGGTGGGCTTGTTTGTTCCTGTCGCAGGTCCATTTGTTAGCTATGAGAGCGAAGCCCTCTAGCACCGAGTTCCAGGCACGAAAGAAAGCTTGGTCGCCCGGAACATGTCCAGCCCAGTTGGCGTGGCTCGGGGGTTGAGCATCGACCTATGAACCAGGAGGTCACGGGTTCGATTCCCAGTCGGGGCACATGCCCGGGTTGCAGGCTCCATCCCCAGTAGGGGGCGTGCAGGAGGCAGCCGATCCATGATTCTCTTTTTTTTTCTTTTTTCTTTTTTTTTTTTAATATATTTTATTGATATTTCACAGACAGGAAGAGGGAGGGATAGAGAGCCAGAAACATCAAGGAGAGAGAAACACCGATCAGCTGCCTCTTGCACACCCCCCACTGGGGACGTGCCCGCAACCAAGGTACATGCCCTTGGCCGGAATCGAACCCGGGACCCCTCAGTCCGCAGGCCAACACTCCATCCACTGAGCCAAACCAGTCAGGGCTCCATGATTCTCTTTTATCATTGATGTTTCTCTCTCTCTCTTTCTCTCCCTCTCTCTTCCTTTCCCTTCCTCTTTGAAATCAGTAAAAAATCGATTTTAAAGAATGTGTCCAAGTAGCGCCTTCTCCATCCCTGGGCCCCAGGACCACACCTGCCCAGGGCCGGCATCTTTTTGTGTGTTTTTTTTAATATATTTTTATTGACTTCAGAGAGGAAGGGAGAGAGAGGGAGAGAGAAACATCAACGATGACAGAGAACCATGGATCGGCTGCCTCCTGCACGCCCCCTACTTGGGATGGAGCCTGCACCCCGGGCCTGTGCCCTTGACTGGGAATCAAACCGTGACCGCTTGGTTCATAGGTCAACGCTCAACCACCGAGCCACGCAGGCCGGGCAGGACCAGCATCTTGAGGGTCCCGGCCCCGGAGTTCCCCTGGGAGCTGACCCCCCCTCTTGCCCCCCTCCCGCCAGGTCACCACGGACCTGCGCCAGCGCTGCACGGACGGGCACACGGGCACCTCGGTCTCGGCCCCCATGGTGGCGGGGATTATCGCCCTGGCGTTGGAAGCAAAGTAAGTTCCCACTCGCTTGCCCTTCTTTGTCTTTTTCAAGTTTTTGTTGTAGTAAAATAACCCACAACACAGAACGGACCATGTGAACCGTTTTTAAGTACACAGTTCACTACATCGTCACCCACACCACCGTCCATCTCCAGAATTTTTAAAAAATGAGTCATCAAAGAAGGTAAGTTTTTTTTTAATATATTTTTGTTGATTTCAGAGATGAAGGGAGAGAGAGAGAGAGAAACATCAATGAGAGAGAGAATCATGGATTGGCTGCCTCCTGCACGCCCCCTACTGGGGATCAAGCCACAATGCAACCTGGGCTTGTGCCCTGGCCGCTTAACCACTGAGCCACACAGGCTGGGCAGTTCACACCCTCTTTGTAAAGAATGGTTTCCAGGGAATAAGCCCTGAGATCACATAGACGGTATTTGATGCCCGGCCGGCGTGGTTCAGTGGTTGAGCATCGACCTATGGACCAGAAGGTCAGGGTTCGATTCCTGGTCAGGGCACATGCCCTGGTTGTGGGCTGGATCCCCAGTGTGGGTCGTGCAGGAGGCAGCCGATCCATGATTCTCTCTCATCATGGATGTTTCTGTCTCTCTCTCCCCCTCTCCCTTCCTCACTGAAATCAATAAAAATGTATTTTTTTTATTTTAAAAGAGGGTGTGAATGCACCCTCTGCCCGGGCTCAGAGCCTCCGCAGCTTCCTCGAGTGCAGGCTGGGGGCTGGCCCCCCTCCCCTGTGCTGCGTCCGTCCGTCCGTCCGTCCGTCCGTGTGACCTGTGCCTGCAGCCTGTGTCCCTCTGTCCTTGCAGCAGCCAGCTCACCTGGCGCGACGTGCAGCACCTGCTGGTGAAGACTTCCCGGCCAGCCCACCTGAAGGCGAACGACTGGAAGGTCAACGGGGCCGGCCACAAAGGTGTGGGCCGGTGGGCGGGGCGGGGCGGGGCCAGGCACCCCGTGCTGGTGGCCCTGGGGGGGGCTGCAATCTGTCTCGGGGGAGCCATGAGTTCTCGATGATCCCCGGAGAACACGGAATGTGTGTCACAAGGATGAAAAGTCTGTGTCCAGCGATAAAGTATCCTGGAACCTCAGTGAGAAAATACCTCCGGTCACTAGATTCAGGGAGCCCCAGACTTAGTGGCTTTTTTAAAAGATATATTTTTATTGATGGCAGAGAGGAAGGGAGAAGGAGAGAGAGAGAAACATCAATGATGAGAGAGAATCACCGCTCTGGCTACTGGGGATTGCGCCCGTCACCCTGGCCTGTGCCCTTGACCGGAATCGACCCTGGGACCCGTGAGTCCGCAGGCCGGCGCTCTATCCACTGAGCCACACCGGTCAGGGCCGTTCCTCTTCTTATAAGGAGGCCATTGACCGGGGCCAGCGTGTCTTCGTCCTGCAGGAATGTGGGTGGCAGGCCGGGCCGTAACGAGAGCTGACCCACATTTCGGCGTTGGCCTCGTTCACGAGGAGAATAGATCGTATCTGGTGCCGCCCCCGGGCCTCTTAAATGAAACTTTGGAACCGTCTCGCACGGGCCAAGTTCAACATCGGGCGGGGTCAGTTCACCAGTGCCCATGGCCTGTGCCACTGTCCCCCGGCGCCTGGCATTCGGCCGGGCAGCTAAAGGGCAAAAGGGAAGAAGCGAGGGCTCAACCCAGGGGCCTCCAATTGCTTCTTCCTCTGGTTTTACTTTATTTTGTTTTTTAAAAAATAGATGTTACTGCCTAACCGGTTTGGCTCAGTGGATAGAGCGTCGGCCTGCGGACCGAGGGGTCCTGGGTTCGATTCCGGTCAAGGGCATGTACCTGGGTTGTGGGCACCTCCCCAGTGGGGGGTGTGCAGGAGGCAGCTGATTGATGTTTCTCTCTCATCGATGTTTCTAATTCTCTGTCCCTCTCCCTTCCTCTCTGTAAAAAATCAATAAAATATATTTAAAAAAATAGATGTTACTGATTTCAGAGAGGAAGGGAGAGGGAGATGGAAATGGAAACATCAGTGATGAGAGAGAATCATGGATCGGCTGCCCCCTGCACGCCCCACACTGGGGATGGAGCCCACAACCCGGGCATGTGCCCTGGCCGGGAATCGAACCAACCGCTGACCTCCTGGTTCCTAGGTCGACGCTCAACCACTGAGCCACCCAGGCCAGGCAAGGAGTAGAGTTTTTATTATTTTTATTTGTTGTTGTTGTTAAAACTCACGTGAGGGTATTTTCCCATTGGTTTTTAGAGAAAGTGGAAGGGAGAGAGAAACATCGATGTGAGAGAGACACATCGATGGGTTGCCTCCCGCACACGCCGGGACCAGGGCTGGGTGGGGATCCAGCCTGCAGCCCAGGTACATGCCCTTGACCAGGGATCGAACCCGGGACCCTTCCGTCCATCCGCAGGCCGACGCTCTTTCCATTGAGCCACACCGGCCCGGGCAGGAGTAGAGTTTTTAGACTGAACAGTTAAAGGATCCTGGGAGCAATGGGACGGTTGGAACCTTCCAGCCCTGAGCAGCCCAGGTGGTCCGTCCCGGAGCCGTGGGGGTCACGGGCCGGGCGCCCTCCGTAGGCGGGAGTCGGGGGCGGAGGGGAGGGGCGCCAGGTCTGAAGGGCTGTCTCTCCAGTCAGCCATCTGTACGGGTTCGGCCTGGTGGACGCGGAAGCCCTGGTCCTGGAGGCGAAGAAGTGGACGGCGGTGCCCTCGCAACACACCTGCGTCGCCTTCACCGACAAGAGGCCCAGGTGAGGCCCGGCCCCGCGGGGGGGGGGGGGGGGGTCCCCTGGCGCCTGGGCCTGGCCCTGACCCTGACCCTGACCCTGGCCCTGACTCGGCTGCAAGGTGCTCCCAGGCAGGTGTGCACTCACAGGACGCGGGCTGAGCGCTTTCGCTCCTGGACGGTGAAGCTGGGGAAGGAACGGTTTCTTTTTGTTTGTTTTGATATTTTTCCCATTGACTTTTAGAGAGAGTGGGAGGGAGGGGGGAGAGGGAGAGAGAGAAAGAGAGAGAAACATCGATGAGAGAGAGACACACACATCGATTGGTTGCCTCCCCCCCAAGCGCCCCAACCAGGGCTGGGGATCGAACCTGCCACCGAGGTACGTGCCCTTGACCGGAATTGAACCTGGGACCCTTCAGTCCAAGGGCCCATGCTCTATCCACTCGGCCAAACTGGCTAGGACCCTTTTAAAAAAAAATGCATATTTTTATTGATTTCAGAGAGGAAGGGAGAGGGCGAGAGAGATAGAAACATCAGTGATGAGAGAGAATCATGGATCGGCTGCCTCCTGCACGCCCCCTCCTGGGGATCGAGCCCGCAACCCGGGCCTGTGCCCTGACCGGGAATCGAACCGTGGCCTCCTGGTTCATAAGTCGACGCTCAACCACTGAGCCACCCTGGCCTTGATCTTGCTCTGGACCCAGAGATGTGCTCGGAGTTTGAAAGTTTAGGGTGTTTCTGAGACGACACCCGTGGGTGAGACTGCACAGAGCCCCTCCCACAGCACAGCCACGCTGCCTTCTTAGTACAGGGTGGTGGGGGGAGGTCTTTACCGGGGGACCTACCCCCGAGGCCCCTGCAGGGCCGGATGGAACCTTCCAGGACCCTCCAGAGCGTTCTCCCGTGCCCTGCGTCCGCCACGGCGCACGGTGAACTTTGGGAGCAGCCCACGCCAGCCGCCAGCCGCCCCAGCCCACGCGTGAGGCACACACGTCATGTGTTCGCGTGTTTACCGTCTCGGGGGGATGACGTCGCTGTTTGTGACCGTGTTCGAGGGTTTCTTATGACTCAGGCCCCGCGGAGCCGAGCGATGTAATTCCTGGGAGACACTCGCCCTTGGCTTCACGCCTCCCTCCCCCCGAGAGGAAGGTCCGGCATCACGGGAACAGTGTTCCCCACAACAGGCCCGGCGCCCGCCCAGCCTTGGGGGTGTGTCCACGGGCGGCTGGGCAGCCAGAGGACCCTTCTTTCTTAATCTATTTTTAAATATATTGGTATTGATTTCAGAGAGGAAGGGAGGGGGGAGAGAGAGAAACATCCATGAGGAGAGGGAATCATGGATCGGCCGCCTCCTGCACGCCCCACACTGGGGATGGAGCCCGCAACCTGGGCCTGTGCCCTGACCGGGAATCAAACCGTGACCTCCTGGTTCATAGGTGGATGCTCAACCACTGAGCCACACTGGCCAGGCTCCATTCTTTTTTTTAAATTCTTACCTACATTTCCATTGATTTTAGAGAGAGAAGAAGGGAGAGGGAGAGAGAGAGAGAGAAACATGGATCGGTTGCCTCCCAACTGGGGATCAAACCTGAAACCCGGGCATGTGCCCTGACCGGGAATCGAACCCATGACCCTTGGGTGCCCAGGACGATGCTCCAGCCGACTGAGCCACCCCGGCCGGGGCGAGAAGCCGTTCCTTCAACCTCTCTAAGCAAATCCCAGAAGGACAACCGTCTTCTGGGCCGGAGGTCTCACTCCGGCAGGAACATCTGAGAGTGTCCCGTACGGGAGGGTGAAGCTGCTCCCCCCACAGTGGGCGGAACCCCAGAGGCCACACCTGGCACCCACCGTCCTCGTGGGTGACCTGGAGCTTCCCCCCC